TGTTTGTTTTTTTAAGTTTTTTTTTCAATAAAATATTATCTGAGTGTATAAATGGCGGAAACCGTGCTACCGCGAAACAAATCTTACATAATATATTGTTTTATTGTTTTTTAACAAACAAGAGACTGTACAGTCTACGATAACCTGCGTATCCGAGCAACTCTCGATTATACGCTTCAAAACTGGCTGCGTTTTGGGAATATTGAAGGTAGAGCAAAAAAACTTGACAAATCTGTGTGTGTTTGTTACATGTGAATCCATTTGTTAGGAATGTGAGCAGGTGATCATAAGTTTGTCTGGCCAGAATTATGACATACACGTGGTTTCAGCAAATTAAAACAATAGTTTGATTTCTGTAACCTGTTTTTGAAGAAATACACCCAAACGCTTATCAGTGGCATGTATCCATTTATACGCAAATACTAAGCTAGCCGAACGAGTTTGTCGAGTCTCCCGCGCTGACGCGAACAATTTCCAATATTTTAAGAAAGAAATACAAGTTGGACTTTAGTTTTACTGCGCATGCGCTTTGGTAGCTAACGCCCTCTGCGTCCAAATGAGTCTATATATATGCGTGCGCATGCACCGCATGTTAATTTCACAATCAAGCTTGCAGCCCAACTGAGTGCATCTGTTTCATTTCTCTGCAAAGAAAAAACCACCGCTAACGACTTTAACCATGGCACGGAAAACAAAGTCAAAGACACAGGTAAATTACCAATTGTAACCATTCACTGTTTGTAGTATAAAGCGCAACTACACGTAATATTATGCGTTTTCTTTGTTGAATGTGAACAGACCGACGCGATCACGCCAAGCCTTTTAAATTCCAACATGGCTTCTTGGAAGAGTTAATTTGTACATTTACATGTATGGGTGTGAATTTCCACGCAGCATCCTTGTATATTTTTTTTTTATAAAAGTGTTTGCTTTTTGATTTTTTACCAGCTCTTCAGGGAAAGATTTAGTAATTCCATGCAGTGTCCGTTGTCTAGTTCACCACGTGTTGGATGGTCGTCCACGTGCATGACGTGTTGTCTGAAATATGCCAAAAGTAATGATTGTATTTATACTGGAAAGTTTACCATGGAAATTGGATTTTTCAACAATATAATGAGTTATCAATTGCTGTGCGAATAGTTTCGGGTCTCGTAATATCATGGTCGTTGCGAAATTGTGTTGAGTCGAGTCTTGCGTGGCTCGTCGTTCAATGAGTTGGCATTTTCTGGTCTTGCGTGGCCAGCAGTCGAGTCTCACGAAATTAATCTCGCAAAATTATTTAAAACTGTAGGCGTTCAGTTAGTCTTTGCTAGGTGTTGCCTTGCCTGGCAAGATGTTGGTCTAGAAACTGGGCTTGGCGTAGCCTTATTTTATCAAGTCTTGCGTGGCTTGATTATTTATTGAAGAGTTGGTCGGGTCTGGCGTGGCCTGACGGAGTTACGAAACGATTAATTCTGTAGCGATGTGGGTATTGAAGCATGCTTGGCGTTGCCTCGCCTGGCTAAAGTTGTGCAATGAAGGGTCTAGCGTGGCCTTTCAATGAAACGATTGTAGTACGTAAGCTTTGTGTGGGGTTTCCCATCCTCACATGAATGACTTGACATTGTGATGGAGGTCACACTGTATTGGAGTTCACTGACTGAAGATGAAATCAACTCACCAGTCACCTGATCATAACCAAACAGAGTAAATACAATCGTAAATCAGGTAAAGTATTGCCAACTTGTCGGTGTGTTGCAACAAAATAAATTAGTCTTCAGTATACAGGATAGTTAGCAGTCTCATTAATTTAAAGGGTGGAACATTTTAAAACGAAGAAGTGGGTCTGCATGAAAAAGTTGTGATTTTTGATTCCAGTCCAGTCTTAACTGAATATAAATGCAGAGCTTCTTATGGCTTGATACATTTTTCCCTATGAAGATCAGTGAAAAAATTGTATTCACCATGAATTTTAAAAACCCCTCAGATTTTGAAATGGTCCATCTCTTATCCATATATGGAAATGGCATCAATTAAGTAGTTTGATATCAGCCTGTGTTCAATGTATGCAAATTAGTATTCAAATTCATTATTCTGCATATTCAGTTTTTCAGTGAAATGTTTTATAAATTTTACATGTAGATTTTAATTAATAAACAGAAAAATGAGCAAAATTATAAATTTCAAAGTTCTTTTGTTTTTCCTGTGGATTAATACATGCATGTTGGTGCATTTTGTGCTTTTAATATTTCTGCATGAATTCAAGTTGTGAAAATATAAATTTGTTCCAGAAGACAATTGTGAAGTTTGGCCAAATTTCAGTCCCAGTATTGTAATCCTTGGATGCACGTTAGTGTCTAGCATAGTACTACTAGTCTGTAAATATCCATCAGTGAACTGTTCACATCAGATTGAATTCAATCTTTTTATTAGTCTGAACATTTTTTATTTAATTTTAATTAGAAAAAAGGCAAACCAGTGAAGAAAGCTCCCCCTCCTAAGCCAGTGGATGAGTCAGAAGAAGATTCTGATGAGGTAAATAATTTCAATCTAAATCATATCAAGTTGTACACTAAATTAGTACAATTTATATTACCACAATTCTAGATTTTCTGAAATTCATAATTCACAAGTAGTTTCTCAGTACTTGCATGGATTTATTGTCAAATCTGCAACTGATTTGAAAACTACATTGAAACTGAACATCGTAAAGTTGGGTGAGCTTTGTTTCGTAAACTAGTTCCTAAACAGATAGTGACTCACTACATGCATTCTAGCTGTATCAGACGCCCTAGATACTTGTGTTCCTTACACAACTGGATCTAATGTTTCTAGGATTTAATTTCACATTGATTTAGTAATTGATTAGTATTGCCTTAATAAACACCAGTAGATGTTAGTTTAGCTTAATTTACTAAACTTAACAAATTTATCTATGTATTTCAGAGCTCAGATGAAGAAGTACCAGTTATAGTCACCAAGTAAGTATTCACATTGTGTAAGAACAGGATACTTTATTTTCGCTTGGAATTAATTTTCGCTAATGGAATGATTCAGTGAAAATAGAATCAAGCGAAGATGCTTTCTTTCATACATTTTACATTCAACTTGGTAAAAATCGGCTAAAATTAATGCCTACTAAAATTAAGTGTTTCAGTATGTGCATTGTATTTATGCTAGCATATCTGGTCTTGGAGTAGGCACCCTTCTCTAATTTCCATGAATCGTACTGCAAGATGTTGGATATCTGTTGAAGCACATGTGTTACAACCAAGTACCAGTGTTCTCGCGATCGGATTTGCCCGCGACGCTATGCGTTTCCTCCGCGGTGCTATTATTTATCCCGTGATCTGATTTCTTCAGTCTCTCGCAGACTGTAAACTTTCCTGGCTAACTAGTTAAATCTACAAATGCATTGTATTGATGCCAATTTCCCGGGATAATCCCCTGTTTCACATCGGTTTTGTTTTTTTAAAACTTATCTAACCATTCTATAAAGACAATGCCGTAAGCCCCGGTGTCAAATGCTCTTTGCTAAACGTATATTCTTATGCAAATGATATAGTCACACTTGGGGTCAAAAGCCACGTTTCTTGTGTGTACGAAACGTATTTTCATTATTTTTAGAAATGTAGTCGTGTAGCAAGTATCGTGACTCGTAACAGTTGTTGTACTTAACCGGAAAACAACAGAAACGGAAGACGAGCAATGAGAATAATCAACCCAATGTTTAATTTACCGGGACTGAACAGGGTTTTATAAAGTTGCGGATTGCTGGGCCAAGCAAAGAAACAGAAAACTCAGTATTTCTGCAGGACATTTGCAATACTAAACATGCAGTGCAATAATTGTATACAGATTGTTCATAAAATAAATAGAAAAAAATGGTTTTGTTTTATTTCCCCATATGACAAACACAGGGAT